ATCATGGCAGGTTGTGCTGAATCAGCTTCCTTCAGGAGGAATTCTTCAGAGCTCCTCCTGGGGGTCTCAGGAAGTAAGGTGTGGTGCCCTCTGTCCCCCACTTTGTCCCTATAATCTGCTCCTTGCCCAAAACCCCGCCCCTCCTCCCCACTATTAAATACCCTTCCGGCATCAGGCCAAAGAAAGAATTGGCTGTAGAGTCTCGCTTGGCTCCACCAGGGCACAAGGGATGGCGGAGCAGCCCTGGCAGAGCCGGCCAGCGCGTGAAATGCATCGTCTGGGGGTGCCTCTCCAGCAGAATTGGAGCTGAAGGAAAAAACACAACAGTGTTCTCACGTGAATTCTAAGAAGTGGGAAGATCCCTCTTCACAGAATTCCCATTAAAGGTTTTTATCAGAAAAACCCCAACCATGGTGTTTTTTTCAATAAAAAGACCCCATTTTTTTTTTTCCCCAAAAGTAGTCTTAAAAAGTAAAACCTCTGCTCGATTATCCTGAGGTGCAAGGCAGGACCGGGGCCATTTCCAGACAGCATCACCCTAAATATTACACACTCCTTTTTCTGTATGCAACCCCAGCCATCCCCCTGTCGGCGCTCACAGCTGCTGCCTTTAAATCTTGTTTATTTCGTTAATGTCAGACAAACTAAAACCCTGATTTTGAAATCTCGTATGCCTCCCTTGGGAAGCAGGGAGTTTTTGCCCTGTTGGTTAACATTTGTCTTCAAACTGTACCTAGAAATAATCCGTCTCCTGAAAGACTTTGGAATTCTTGTATCTGATACGAATGTCTCCTCCCACATTTTTTTGTCATTTGTTCTCCCATTTTAATTCTCTGTTGTTCATTTAGGCAGCATTCATTATTGGTTCTCAAAAATAGCTTCTCTTTGATATCTGCACAAAGTGTCATAATTAACCAGCAGGCATGTTCCTGGCAATTGGTACCACTGCAAGTATTTTAAAGAGATTTTGCCTGTACCTTCTAGTCCTTGTTTTTATTTCTTCCAGTCTTTGCCTGTTCTCATGCACGCAATCTTCTAAGGCATCATAAATGGATTTCTGTGTTTTGCAGTACAGAAAGCATAAAAAGCAAGGTACATGGTCTAAATAAATACATAAAAGCAGCTGACAGAGCAGGGGCGAGAGCTCTGCTGTCTGTCGGATGGAGTCCTGCGTCCAGAAGTGGTGGTGGGAGACGAGGGAGTGACAAGCTGGTGGCAGTGCTGTGGCCTGGGAAAGTTTTGGGTCGCCTCTGATCTTATTTTTGGCTCGAGGTTGGTTTGTCCATACCCACGTACCGCCTAGCAGAAATAGGAAGGCTGTACCCACATCTCTATAAAGTGCCTTTCCTTTTCAAATTACTACCTTTTTTTTTTTTTAAAAAGAGCTGAAAACCCTAATGACATTATGACCCACGAGTGTTTCTTCCTGCCGCTGCAGGAAGCACCGCGATAAATCCCAGAGCCCTGTCATCTGGTGGAGGAAGCGCCTGCTTGAGGCAGGTGGATAAGTGCATCTCTCTGTGCGCAAAGGCACATGTTCATGTTCCTCCCTGGTAACAAAACATGAAGCATTTCAGCTGCAAGGTTTTACGTGGCTGTATGTGTGGGAGATGCCGCGTGCGATACGTACCCGCGAGGATGGCAGGGAGGCAGGGCGTTGCCAGCAGCGGCCAACGCTTCAGCACAGACATGGAGCCTTGAAAGTCTGTTGATGCTGCAGTTGGAACGAGGCCCACCCCCTCCTACACCAATATGTCACACCACCTGTGCCTGCACTCACCCCATTCCCTGGTGGGATCTTGGGTTTAGGTGATCTGACCGATCTGGAAGAGGCAGGGGGCTTTTTTGGCTCTCCACGGTCCACGGGTGTATCGGGCTGCCGAGGCCTGGCCTTCACCCTGACACCTTGCAGGCCCTGCACTGACCAACATCAGTGAAACCTTGTTGGTCAAGACCGAGCATGCAGCACTAACGGAGGCGATCCCTGGCCATTACAGCCCTGTCTCACCCAAGAGTTGCAGACCCTTATCTTTCACATTTTCCACAAGATCACGGCACAAAGAGCCACCTTTTTATCCGAGTACGGACAGCTGTGCCGGCTGGCCCGTCTCGCTTCTGTTTGGATGGTCCCTACTAGGTGTGCACGTTTCGGTGCCTGCACGAGCGTAGTCCTCAAGACAGCAAAGACCAGGACTTCGCTACGATAAAGCACAAACCAGGAGCACTCGGAATTGGGGAGCCAGACCCCCAAGAAGCTGGGGCGATGCAAGGCAAAGCATGCCTGTCTCCCCAGCAGGAGGAACGGGTGGTACCTGGCCAAAGCAGTAAAAGGACAGACTCTTGGAAGGAGCTGGCACGAAGGGTGGTGGTGGACATGAGAGGAATTTAGGGATGCACATAAAGTGTTTCAGCCAGGGAAGTCACTAAAAAAAGTTTATGTGACATCACTCAATCTGTTTTCAGCCAAGACAAGCTGTTTTTCCTGCAGCAATCACGCTCATCCCCAGTTATGCAGGTGTAGTCAGGGGACAGCCGCTTGCCGTTTCCTCTTTCCTTTCATTGGTTTGCAGCAGTGGAAGCATTCAAGAGCAAGTAAAGCTCACGCTGGGGATGTCTTACGACTGCTCTTAACCACTTCTGTGCAGCCTATGGTTGAGGGCCTAGCACTGCAGCTACAGCTTGTACACCAGTGTCTCTACTGCCTCATAAGCGGCTGAGGATGCAGGCTGGAGCACCAGCCTGGTGCCCACCCGTGCTGATGAGCTGGGCCTAAGCACAGTCCCAGGTGCAACTCAAGGAGCTGCCCAGGCCAGGCACCATTCCCAGAAGACAACATGGACAGGTCTAGAGCAGGCTGCACTCACCCAGATCCCCTGCAGATGTGGCCAGTTAAGGTACCAGTTCATGGGCCAAGGGGCTAGTTCCTGGCTCCCTTACCAGTATAGAGAGAGCCCATGAAACTGGTCTTCTAGCCCCCTTGCTTTCACTGAACCGAGCAAAAAGCTCTCACAAGGAGAACTATGTTCACTGCTAACAGATGTTACCTGGGGGTTGTGAAATAACGTGCTGGAACATTCCAAAAGTATCTCGTCATCTCTAAACAGCAAACTGAGAAATGCTCTTATAGAACCACAGAACGATTTGGGTTGGAAGGGACCTTAAAGACCATCCAGTTCCAACCCCCCTGCCATGGGCAGGGACACCTTCCACTAGACCAGATTGCTCAAAGCCTCATCCAGCCTGGCCTTGGACACTCCCAGGGATGAGGCATCCACAACAGCTCTCGAGACCAGTGCAAGGCTCAAGCTTAGTAAAAGCTTTAGTTCCAAGTGCAGGGGCAAAAATACTAACTAGCTAAAAGAAGGAGGGTTAAAACTGGGGGTTAAACCCCAGAAGAACGAATGTTTCCCAAGTGCCTTCCATATGGCACTGAGGTAAGCGTTACGCAGAATCACTGACGGCTAAAGATCTGGGAGTCATTTCCTGACGAGTCACTAGGAGCGCACAGCTTCGGCACACTTAGGTGACAACAGCTGTCTGCTAGCCAACTCTTTTTAAACCAAACTCATTTTCTTCTATGAAATACACACCCAGCATCAAAACAAAGCAGAACACGTCCTGAGGAAAAGGCTGCACAGTAAGCTAGTTTCTCCGAATTCACAAAGCACGAAGAGGGGTACACGGCTCTCCTGGCATTCACTCCTCACCAGAACGTTCAGCCTCCTGCCCTGTTTCCGCCCGTCTCTTGTTACGGCACAATAACCTCAATTTTGTATGTTTAACACCTGCACTCGATCATGCACTTAATCTTACACAAAAGCTGAGCTTCCTTCACAACAAAAAGAATGAAAAGCCTACAGAAAGCTCCAGAAATCAATTAAAATGCTGTGATGATTAGACTTCTATCACTGTTCGGTGTTATGTGCATGGTTGCATTGAATTTCTGAAAGGTCAGTATTCAAGTTCTCCATTCAGAGATGAGAGCCACCATCTTAATGATGCACAATCACCTGGCTTTCTTTGGGACAAAAAAGATGCTGCAAAATGCATACAAAGTACAAAAAGATCTTCCTTTCCAAGACACTAAATCAAAGCATCTGTAAAAAATAGAAATTAATCCTTCCACCTCCATCTGAGCTATTGCCATATGAAACTGTCTCATTCCTGCAGATCATGGTAGTAAGCACACTGCTAGAGATTACCCTGTTTTCACCTGAAAGAGCAGCATGTTCCAAGAACGTCCTTTTCCATGTCCAACCAGTGAAAATTTCCCGAGGATTTATATCCGTGCACCGACAATCTTTCTACTGCTATCCAAAGATACACCTTCAGAGAGCAGTGGGCCAGGCTTGATAGCCACCTGACGCTGCCAAAGGCACCAAAACTTACTTCTGGGCAGGTCACTCCCAAGACAGACATCTCTGCTCACTCATTAATGAATTTCCTGGAAGTCTTTGTTGGCAGGTTAACGGGACAAAACGAAGTCAGAAAGAGAAAAGGTGGCAAAGCCTAAGTGTAAGACGAACCTCTGCTCCAACTCTGCAAAAGACTTAAGAACACTGATGTCTTGGGGACACAGTTGCACTGGACGGGTGTGTAACTCACCAGAACACCCTACGATTAAAACTCGCTCAGGTGGATTTTCAATTGGCCAGCCGTTAAGGCTTACCGAGACCCACCTGATCAGCCATGCATTCTGAGGAGTTCAGCGTGACAGCTGGGCAGAACCTAAACAGCGGGACGCAAATTAACGTGCAGCCCAGTACGAAGGGCAGCGGTGTGAGCACCAAGATAATTTCCTGATGCAAGCAAACATAGTGGTTCATTTATTTGATCTTTATACTTCATAAAGTTGGTCAAGGTCTTGTCTTGCCTAGCAGAGTAGCAGATTCCAGTCTGCAAAGTATGAGGGAGGGAAGTTCCCATGGCTTGATCCATTAATCCTATTTGAAGGGCTGAGCTTCGACCTTGATTGTTTTTCTTGCTCGTTCAGGCTTCTCTCAGGATGAACAGCTTACTCTAAGGTCCTTGGCCCAAGCTGGGGGGCGCAGGGAGTAGCCTGCTTTCTCTGCAGCCTGCTGTCTCTGAAAGGGATGTTGTAAGATCTGCTGTAGGAGATGAACCTGGAAGTGATTAAAGCAGCTTTTTACACAGAATGTTTTCCTGCAAACAAGAGAAGTTTCTGCCACTTGATACTGTGCACCCTCCTGGTTCCAGAATCTGTTACATGAGTTGCATACTATCATTACTACTGCTGTTAAAACAGTTGCTGCTATTGGGGTTATAATTAATACTACTACTAATTTCGTTAATATTTTAATCGTAATTGGTATTGGATAGTACAGTGTTGGTCAAAGCCTAGTACAGGTTAAAAGTCTGAATGCAACACCTGTTTCATTAACAATTATTAATAAATATGTCAAGAAAGAAATAATTTTACCTCTGAGAAATCATTCAAATTAGCTTTTCGCACTGCTGATTCTGCCATCCAATTCCTAAGTATGTATCGAGGATTAACAGCTGAAACCAAAAGTAAAGCCTGTTAAATTTAGTTAGACGTCTGCAACAAAAGGAAAACAATCATTGAAGTGTGTCACTGAAATCTTGAAGAAGGTTTAATTTGCAGATCAAGAAAAAAAACCCCACATGATAAGGGTTGAATCGATCTATGAGCTGCTAAAAGGAGTTTTTAAACCTGCACACTCAGTAATGCCAAAGTGCCAGACAAAAATCACAGACTCCTCTCGGACATCACGTGGATGCACAAAGGATTTCCCGTCACGAACGCTGGCAGACTTTTCAAATCTGATGAGTTTACCACGGCCCAGGTTCCCGCTACGTCGCTGGAAAGCGTATCTCCGTGTTGTCAGCACCTTCCTGGAGATCGCAGCGATGGATATTGTATTACTTCATTTAAAATTGAATTAGTAAGGTATTCATTAGTGTGTGTACTCAGATATTCTTCTGTATCGTATAGCAAATGTTGAGCCATGAAAGCCTTTAATGCTGCATTTCAGCTGTATTTTTCGAGAAACTGCTTTTTCAACTTAAATTTCCTGGTGAGGCTGGAGGGAGCTTCCCCAGTGGAAACACTCCTGAGAGCTGCAGTGCTTCTCTGGCATGTTGCAGGCTGATTGAGTCTAATTAGTGGTAGGGAGATTGTAAGGAAAAGTGAAACTGCTGAATTAGTAAACCAGCTTACATCCTACAGGACAGCAAGTAACAACTCATAAAAGGATTCTGTCAAACTGTATGCCAGGGACAATTCTCATAAGCACACATGGCTTTTATCATCCATTTTTAAGCAGATAATGTCAACACAACGATTATCTCCCCAATTAAAGCCTAGGATTCTACTTCAGAAAGCCTTCCCTTTAATCAAAACAAAAACTTTCCCTTTAATCAAACCAATGTTTCAGATTAATTGTAACAAACACTTCAAGCTCGCACTGTAAATCTTGACTTGACACTGGTCTGCATGTTTTCCCAAATTCAGTAGCTGATTATTACATGAAGAGAGTAATTAGTGGCAGCAGAGGCATGTCACCCATCGACTTGAAACCAAAAGGCTGTGATTTATGGACATACACAACCTTCATCTGTTCCTTCCCTTTCCACTGATGTCCCTGCAGGTTTTATATGAACAGATGTTAGGGGTTTTTTGGTTGTTCTTTTTAATCTATGCAGATTTATAAAATAGTCTTATAAATATTCTTAGGGCATATTTGAAAGAGGGTATTAGAGAAAGCAGAGTATTCATAAAAATCACCACCCTGAATATCCCTCTACCCAAATCCTCTAATCAATTAGTTGTGATGTTATTTGATTTACCAATAATATATTAGCAGGGGGATGATCTGAAACAGTATTTTGGATAAAAGTATTAAATTTAATCTGTGTCCATATCCCAGTTCACTCTGTTCTTGCATCCTTGCGCTGCTTTGCTGGCACGCAAACAACCTGTTATCCTGGTTGAGCCCAAGGCAACTGATGTCTTGGAGAAAAGCCACGGCTGGCTCCTCCTAAGGTCCCATGGTCAGACAGTCGCAGGACTTCACTCGTATTTAACAGCTCCCCACGCAGCCAACAGGCTTCTCCAATAAGCACTGCTTCTGAAAGGCCCCATTTAACCAGCTAACGAGCTCCAGTTTGCTGAAGTGATGCCATCAGGGAAACAACCCTTGTGTTGTTATCTTACGTATATCTTATCTTATACAGTTACATTCTTTATGTTCCAACTGAACGATGCCATTCCCAGCCACGAGATGTGACACAGAGCAGCATTACACAGTGGGTCTCTGTGATTTGGGAAAGCAAAGGACACAAAATGCATTCTCTGCTTGACGTGCTGAACTCCCAGCACTCGTGTTCCTGCCAGCGGGGAGAAGGTGAAACCCTTAGGAAATCAGAACCGGCTGAAACCAGAAGCATCTCAGGTGGCAATGCCACCTGCCACCCTCACAGCCCTTTGCAGCACAGTGCTGCAGAGGAGGAGCTGGAGGAGCTGACTTCCTGGAGAATAAAGAGTGAGGTGCAATCCATCCGGATGCAGACATTCTTCTTCCCCCGTGGCCACTGCTCGGTATGTACCCACATAAGGGAACAAAAGCCAGTAAACGCAACTGGCTATTTGGAACCCTGATAACCTCCACTTTGTCCTGACAACACCTGCCCTAACTGCTAAAAAAATACTGATTTCCCACTTGGCAAAGTGATTTCCTCTGGCCAAGTATTTGATTTAATCCAGTAAACGGGTTCTCAGTAATAAAGTGGGATAACAGTATAAAAAGCATATTTAAAAGGTGGAGAAGTTAACATATGACTCATACAAAAAATGATAAATCACATTAAAACCATGACTCATATCAGCAGGAGAATATTTGTCCCAGAAATGTATTCTTAAACAATTGCAAATTGACAAGCTTCACAGTGGCGATAAAAATATCTGTAATTAACACAGGTGACAAGATAATTACGAGAGAATAAGACAAGCCAGTTAAAAAAAGGACAAAGCAGAAGAAATTTTGTGCCCTCACGAGCATTTTGTAATCTCGTCTACCATTTTTTTTTCACGTTTCTTATATAAAGAAATACAATGACAGACTTGCATGGGGATTTGGATTGTCAAAACTTTCTGATCTACTCCTTATCCTCCAAGATAAAGTGCTACTTAGGACTAAAACCTAAATGAAGAGAGAAAAGAATAAAGATAATTAAGTGATCGACTTGAAACGCTTCAAGGTACTTTGGGACATGAGGTATTTCCTAGACAGTAATGATGAGGGCAAGGTGGTGAATATATAATGAGGTGATAATAAAGGCAATATATTCATGGTCAGTCAGTGCTAAAGACAGCAGTAAGAAATTTAGTGGGACTTACCAACCCATATACAACTCCGGAGAGCCCTGGCAGCTTTGTCTTTGTTTGCAAAACATATCCTCACTGGATATGTGAGGATTCACGGTGAAGTTGGTCATCTTCCATATAACTGGTCATGACAGTATATGCATAGAGCAGAGCTAGAAGGTATTCCTAACAGGCTACTGATGTGAATTTGTTACTGCGATGCCCTTCTGATCTCTTAAAACCATGCATTTTCTAAAGTATTTGCTTGTAATAGCTGTCCCTTGGCAGTACAACTTGCAGGACAAATCTGGCTCAACTCGGCCAGCTGCGGGTTTTTACCCAGCAGTTCATAGAATCACAGAATGGTTTGGTTTGGAAGGGACCTTAAAGACCATCTAGTTCCAACCCCCCCGCCATGGGCAGGGACACCCTCCACTAGACCAGGTTGCTCAAAGCCTCATCCAGCCTGGCCTTGAACACTTCCAGGGATGGGGCATCCACAGCTGCTCTGGGCAACCTGTTCCAGTGCCTCACCACCCTCTCTGTGAAGAACTTCTTCCTGATATCTAATATAAACTTCCCCGCTTTCAGTTTAAACCCAAATCCCACAGTTGAAACTTCTTAACCCTACCAGACTACAGTTAATAAATCAAATCTTTTTTCTGGGTAACTGTTTTCATACTAACTTTATAAAAACACACGTAAAATTGTAAGAAGTATTCCTAAAATTGGATGGAGCCTTGGTTAGAAAACGCGGGTGCCAACATCAGGGTCCAAGTGATGATAATTTGTGCCCTACGTAGTTTTTCCTCTGTTATTACTGAGACCCAGTGCTATCTCCTGCCATTTTTCAATCAATTGAAGCGTTGGAAGAAGTGGCCAATCGATGTCTAACAGAAGGGCACAGCCATTTCTGTTAGAAACGCGAATAAAACACCCTGCAAAGCAGAGTAACACTGAATAATGCAGGATCTGATCAGATCCTCCCTCTCCTTCACTCCCTTTTGCCCAGTTGCTCACTGTCTGTTACAGGCAAATTTCACAAGTTTCCCACAGCTCACTGCAGATCCAAAAATACCTCTCCCTGGATAATTCTTAGAATTCCATATCCCCTGTTTATGCTGTGACAGAGAGCTGAAGGCAGCACCTCTTCCTTTTTGTATGTAGAATAACTTGGAGGATTGAAGTGCCTTCCTTTCGTGACCAGATAGTCTGTTCACACATCAGGATTTTCTCTCCAGGTGCACAAAAAAGAGAGTGGGTGCCTTTCAGAAAGGATGTATCTGAACACAAATCTCAGTCCAATGAGCCTAGCAGGATGCCTACCAGAGTCTTCCTTGATGTCATCAAGTGAACAACGCTCTCCCGAGCCATGCAGGCCGACACACTCACAGCAGTGCACAGCAAGGACAAGATGTTCCTTGCACTGGCGAAAAGCAGGTGCAGCCGAAGAGGAAGGGTATCGCTCACAAGGAAACAGAATCATAGGGCCGCTTTCGGGGAGAACCCTACTTTGCAATGAAGATATACAGCTTGGGGAGCAGCCAGAGCACGTCTGCTGTTTCAAGACCCCCAGGTGAAGCCCCACTTGAGGCATGACAAGATACAGAAAGCCATGTTCCCATGGGCCAGTCATTTTTCAGTTCTTAGAGGAAATCAAAAGCAAAACATTAATCAGGTCCACGAGCACCAAAGCGTAAAACAAGCTGGAGGCCAGGGCATCTGCTGAGGCCCCAGGTGGAAACTGTACAAAGGGGAGTTACAAAACAGAGAAAAACCCGAAAAGGTAAATGACAAATAAGGGGATGAAACATCAACAAGAGGTAAATGAGGAGTGATGTGAAGTACACCACAGCCAGACAGCTGGGCTGGATTGCTTCGGTGCCTGTACTCACACATGGTGTGACACAGATCCCAACAGCCTTTGTGGACACTGGTAGGACATGGCTTCTTCATGCCGCTTTCATCCCAAATACGCATGGACACGTGCTCTGTCCTTCACAGCCCGCAGAATCCAGAGCACAGCGACTTGGACTGGCAGCTGTGGTGCATTTCCATGATCTCACACTCTTAGGCCTCAGCCAACAGGTACAAGACTGTATTCACAACAGGTGTTTGGGCCAGACCAATTCTTTGCAAGGGTGGACAATTAAATTAAGGAATCTTTTTAAGGAGGGTAAAGGAAGGCTCCTTAAGGAGGAAGCGAGCCTCATCGTAGCCAAGGAACATCTTAGCTCGTATAAAGGTACGTATATACTAACAACTCTAGCCATAGACACGTGGCTAGAGTCTAATCACACAATTGGGTGAATCCAAAGACGGCCCCAGTGAATGTACAGCAGCAGTGTATGGACAGTTTCTCCTCTTTGAAAAACAGTGCATTGCAGTTCTCAAAAGGGAAAATAGCACTGAAGAAACCTATGTAAACTGATAGCTGCCATTGCCTGGACTTGTTCCTGTGTAATCTACTCCGGGTGATCCTGCTCTGGCAGGGGGGTTGGACTAGATGATCTCTAGAGGTCCCTTCCAACCCCTGCCACTGTGAATCTGTGAATCTCCAAGCATATGAATTATTTTGGATTGTTTTACTCACCTGTCATTCTTGTTCTTCTCTTGGTATCTGAATCACCCTTGTTACTGTACATGAAAAACAAACCAAAAGAGAAAAACTAAAGTGCTTTAGCTAATAAGAGTTATCTATTTTTAGAAGCATCTTATTTGACTTTCATTAAAATCATTAAGCATTCTGCTTTTGTGTTCAGCGGAAGCAGGTGTGAATCTCTAAGAATAATCAGACTTGGGAAAAACTGCACACTTTCTTGCAGGTTTTGTACCTTTTACTGACTTTTTCCCTAAGAACTGTATTGACTGACTAAAATTTCCAAGCACCCGACACGTACTTCCTTCCCCCCCCCCCCGTCAGCCATGCGTGCAACATAGGACTGAGGAAAAGGCGATACGTTCTTGATTGATTTGAGACCAAAGAATTGGTAGGAAGTTCTAACATGCATGTCCCTGTCTGTGCAACACCAGCGGTTTCCAAACACTATTCACAGCTGTTCAATTTCCACCCCCTGTCATCCTGAAGCCAAATTATTGCGTAGTTAAAAATAGATGTATTAACAGTAACAAAACTCTGGTCATTCCTAGGTATTTGCAAAGCCTGGCTTTCAGATTCTCCGATCTGTAGGACTGGTATTTTAACGAAGATGATTAACCAAAGAAATCTGATCGGTTGCTCAGTGAAAGACAGCAAACACAGACAACTCCTCCCCTGTCACTTTGATGTACCTGTATGCTAAAACAGAACTACAGCAGTAATCATTATGGGATCCAGCTCAGATCTGTAAAGTCAAAAAAGGCGTATGAAACCACGTTTGGGCCAGTTTACCAGACCTGCTAACAGTTATGGAAAATCACTGCAGATTAAAGTTGTCTGCTTCTGGCAAATACACACTTGCTGTTATTTTCACACCTGAAACTGCACCAGACTTACCGATTTATTCTCAGGAGGTACATGGTAACCCACTCTGAAAATAACTGGTGTTTGCTCAGGTCCTGGAGAGCCCAGAACTCCTAAAGAGAGAGAAACAGTTAATGGTGGGTAATCACAATTCTGTTCCTATTTGGCAAAAAACAAAGTAACCAACCAAATATTAAGAAGGAAACATATGATGACCCTTCTATCCCCAAAACTGCTACTACTATCTTTTCCCCTGTATTTAAATTATTCCTTTTTGCTAGAATCACACACTCGCATTAATCCATCTCTGTTACGGCCAATTCTATCTGAACACCTCCACCCCCTACTTCGCCTTGTCTTATTGTCTGACCTATTATATTTTTTAGGCTACATAACTACAGGTTTTACTCTCTCCTGAGTTTTGTATGTGAACCAGATCTATTTGTAGAGACTTTTTTTTTTCCCAAAAAAAATTATGGCATAATGAAAATATATTGGTAAAGAAAGACCAGGTGTGGACAAAAAGAGAAACTTAAGGTTACAGGGGTGGGAGAAGACTGAGGAGAAGAACAGAGACAGACGGAGAGGAAGAAGGGAGAGGAGACAGCCTGGAAAAGGCAGACATGGAGAAACCAGAGCTTGGGGTTACTGCCTCCAGTTGGACAACAGCCACGAAACTAGGCTTCCCTGGCTGACTACGCTGAGCTAACAGCTGCTTCGTATCACTCTGTTGAAAGAAGGTAGCCAAAGCTCACAGACAGAACAGATTAGAAAGGAATGGGCATAGGTAAAATAGTTAAAGCGCAGATATACAAGAAAAAAAATGTGCAAAAGTTAAGTGAAATTAAGGGAAATTGAAAGCAAGAACAAAATTTTTATCACATCTCTGTGTTTTTTTTAAGGAACAAAAATAATACAATGAAAACCCCATTTGAGTCTAAAAATGAGTTAAAATTACAGAAGTGAGTAAGAGCTGGGGGTCGAGCAGGTGGATAACAGGTGAATGTGGGAGTGAAGCATTTGTTCAAAGACGTGCAGGGTTGGCTGCTGCAGAAGGAATTTCAGAAGGGTTCAAGTCAGTACTAAATCTAAGCGCTCCTGCAGCGTTCCCAGGGCGTTCTGGCATTTTTAGGTCAATTTTGGTTTGCAGCTAAAAAAAAAAAAAAAGTACGTGACCAATATGAAAACTTATTTTGCTACTGACAAAGTATTAGTGTGTGAATAAAAAGCAGGTGAAATTGCCTTAATATTAGAAAAATCCTTTAAAAATTAAAACGTTTCGCCAGCGTAAAACTGTACCAGCTTTATCACACCTGAACTTGTGGGCAACATCGTTCCATTGTGTGAAATACCATGGTCAGCTGCTACCGAGCGAAGGCGGCAAGTGACCCTCAGTGTAGTGGAACAAGGACATCGGGCCCGCAACAGTGTCACAACTATGCCATGATCACTAGTTCCTCAGCCTGCACCCTCAAAGAAGGGGCGATGGGGTTGCCATAAATGCCACTACTACAGCAGTCCGGGCATGGCTCCATCCTAAGTGGGAGTGGCTTCTGTTCTTGGATCGCCTGTAGGCCACTAAGAAATGGAAAAATCCCTAGTATGCTATGACAAAAAAACCCTTCTCTCACAAACACACCCATCCTGTTATCACCCCCCCTCTACCAATGATTAATTCCACAGCTACAGCTCTTCGTATTTTTGGTGCTTACCACTAGAAAAATCTCAATTTTTTAACTACTGGCTTCAAGCTCGTAGAAAAGGTCAGGTTAGATCTCTGACTTAACAGAAGAAAACAAGCAAACCCAGGGAATTTGGTCAAAATCACTTAATTATATAGGACCAAACTGGAAAAAGAAACAGGAACTCCTCATTTTCATTCTAAGCTTTGCACAGAGCCATTTTGCTCCCTACAACAACCTTGTTAAGTCTACCTGCTCTCATTTTAAGTTCAATTCAAACAGAAGGAAGTCAGAAGTTATGGAAAGGCGATTAAGTTTCCCAGGCAAAGTGAACAATATTCCTCACATGGAAAAGGCATAAAAAGAAAGAAAACAAAAATCCTTTTAGCTCTTGCAAAAGGCTTCTTTTTCTTCCTTTCCAGATCAGGTACTTTCTTTCCAGAATTTAGAACTGACCTTGTGCCCAAGGAAGGGCAGAGACCACAAGGGGCTGAGATTCTGGCAAGAGTTTATGATGAGATGGGCTCTCACTTGTCATTAGATAAGGAGACAAGCTGATGGGCCTGACAGCAGGTATTCAGGTCACCTGGTAAACCCATGTTAGGAATAATTTGATCGACCCATGGTTGAAATTTTCCTTATGAGCCCTGTCCAACTTACTTGTGTCTTAAGCGAAGGTATTCTTAAGCAAAATAAACAAACAAAAATGTGAGGAAGGAAGGAAGGAAAGTTCTTTCTAGCAGACCCATCTCAAATGTAAAGAAAATCACATTCCCACCTGTGTGTTATTTATGAACTACTCACACTGGACCAATAGCAGAGGCTGAAAATTTTACCTCAGCACTCATTAATGTATTTTTCATTAGCACGCTTCGTTAATGTACCCTTCATCACTAGACACAGGCCTAACATGAGGCGGCAGGGGGCGGGGGTAGCATGACACAGATAGATTAATCCAGATTGCCCAGAGAAGCTGTGGATACCCCATCCCTGGAAGTGTTCAAGGCCAGGCTGGATGAGGCTTTGAGCAACCTGGTCTAGTGGAAGGTGTCCCTGCCCATGGCAGGGGGGTTGGAACTAGATGATCTTTAAGGTCCCTTTCAACCCAAACCTTTCTGTGATTCTAGTCTCCCTGGCCCTTAATAATGCTACAACAACACATGTCCCAGGCACATCGTGGCTTGAGACTTCCTCTATTACACCAGGGTTATGTCCAACCTGATTTACTCATTTTATACTCAGTATTCGTAAAACTGGGTGCTTGGATTAACTAATACCTCAGGAATATGGAGCTCCTTTAGCTGGTCTTCAGTAATTTCACTCAGCTGTCGAAATGTCATGGTAAAATCAGCCTTTGTTTCTTCCATAAGCTAGTGAAAAAAGACACTTCTATCAGAGTTTTTAAAGTGTGGGGTGTCAGTCCAGATGTTTGCCGACAAACTTACTTTTAGAAGGAAAGCAATCAAATAGTTATCATCCTCATTCTCCCCAAGAAGACCCAGTTTTGTTTTGTACAGTTCTGTGAAACTGAAAACAGTAACAAAGTAAGGAAACTGTCACATAATATAATTTATGGCATTGTGACAACAAGGTTTTGAGTTCTGGAAGTGCATACCGGATGTAATAGAGCTCACCGTATCCCTCCAAAATCTGGGAAGCTCTGCAAAAATAAATGTGAAATTCCATGGAACTATAATGCTACTGTGGGTACAATCCTACTGTGCACTGAACAATGAAAACTTCTGTCTGATACCTCACAAACATCAACGTTCTGAATCAACCAGGATCTGTAGTGGGAAAAGACTGACAGGAAACACTGTTACAGGCTTCAAAGACCTAAACAGCTGCTGCCAAGGAAAATGCGATGTTCTTCCTTTCCACACGGAGTGAGAAGTCGTGAGTTTAACCCGCACAAAAGATTCGTATTAGGAACCTTTACAGTAGGATATCAAAATCCTAACTCATTACTTCAGGAGGATGTACGTGTAAGTGAGCATCTTACAGAACAAGCTGGACAATCAATCAATAGAAAACGACAGGCCAAGGTCCGACCTTAGGGAAAGGAGAATGGTCCACGCAACACCTAGGACCGCCTGCCAGTCACATCTGGCTATTCTTCATGACCAATGAAAACATTTCTCCCCTCCCTCCACCCTATTCTGGCCAATAATTAACTCAGAATCAATTTCCACTCAGAAAAAAAGATGATAAAAGCTAATCCCTTTCTTTCCTATGTGTATGGTGATGTGAGGGTCTCCCATCTCACTAGTTCTTTTAAGGGTTAAGATATTTTAAGGAGTACTTACAGCTGCTTTTGCCTGGCATCCAATAAAGGTCTTAGAGCTTGTAACAGCTTGCTCAGATTAAACAGCCCAACGTTTGCCTGGTTTCCTATTTTATACCTCCCTTCATCATCAGATGTGTTTGGAACAAAATCTGTTTCAAACAAAACGGTACTTTTCCACAACAGAGTAATTACAATAAGCAGTCAGTGTTAAAATACTGAAGTGCATTCATGTTTATGTTAACTCAGCAAACTAATAAAAGCCCTAAAGTTACTAAATACTTAAAATCAGAATGCAAGGATACTTGTTTACAGTGAGTTAAGTCAAGATCTATTATTTGCAAAGCCAAAGGAATACATCCTTTGCAGACAGGTTCCCATACGTCACAAGTGACATTTTCCTACTTGAAGATACAAAATAAATTCAGACGTTTAAAGAGAAAAAGACCACTATTACACTAAAAATTCCTTATTCAATGTTTTTCCTACATACAGCGCTACTACTTAGCACACAGACTAAGCAAACAACTGTACAACCAGATGCAGGATTTGTAAGTATTTTTGAAAAAGTAACATGTATAAACACAAATTTAAATAAATAGGTCACCCGAGCAAGATTTGTTTCAGTTGTAGAAGCAAACTTTATGTATTCACATAAAAAAGAGGGCATGTTCCAGTACGCAAATCCATTATTTGGGTGATAATAAATATCTGCTATGCAAGTGACAGGCATCCGGCAGTAAACGGCACGCATCGCATGGAGGCCGTACGCACCCCTTGCTCACATCGAGTGCAGATGAGCTGATCAATGCCCACGGCATCGCCCGAGTCCTGGGAGGACATTCATAACAAATGGAGTGTTACAGAAGAGACCTCTGGCACATTTGTCAGGTCTGGTGATTGGTTCAAATCGGAATTTTACTCTAAAGCGTTTTATCTGGTTCTAGGCCGTAGTGGCTCTGGCTGGAATGGAGCTCATTTTCCTCAGGGCCTGTACGGTGCTGCGTTGTAGGTTTGTGACCAAACCGGCGCTGGTAACACACCAACGCTTTAGCTATTGCTGAGCAGTGCTTGCACAGCGTCAAGACCTTCTCTGTTCTCGCGCTGCAACCCCATCAGGTTAGGCTAGAGGTGGGAAGGGAGTGGGAGAGGATGCAGCCAGGACAGATGAGCCCTGCTGATCAAAGGGATATTCCACACCATACGATGCCATGTTCAGCAATAAAAACGGGGTAGTTTTTCCAAGGCAGTTGTTGCTGGGGGACTGACTGGTGGTGGGAGGTGCCTTTGCATCACTTGCTGATCGCCCCCAGCCCTTTTTTTTCCCCCCCCTTCACTTATTCAACTGTCTTTAGAGCTTTTTGTCATCTTTGCTCTTCCAATTCTCACCCCAAACCTGCAGCAGGGGGGAGCAAACCAGCGGCTGGTGGGTCCTGAATTGCTGGTTGGGCTCAACCCACCATACAAAGATCTAAAACCAGAAAAGCTCTTTTTTTTCAATACAATAGAAACAATGACATTTACTATCAGTAATACTTCATTAACAAGACTGTTAGCACTTGAAATGCAACCTGTGGAGTGTATCAGGAAACTGGCCTCTGATACAATTTTCTTCCCTAAAACTCTTCAACATACACACGTTTGGGATTTTTCTGCTATTAATGTTAGAGTTTTCATGCCCACAGAAACTACACAAATTAATATAAAGAATTTAAGTAAAAAAATTATATTTAAAAACAGGTGCTACACTCACTTGGGTCATAGGAGTCCATAAATCCAAATGGACCATAATCTATTGTTATGGATAGTAAACTGAAGTTATCTGTATTGCACACACCTACAATTAAACAACAAGGAGAAACAAAAGTTAAAATTCCACCTGAACCCTGTAGTCTCTAGAAAAAAATCGCTGGGAAACAGATCCACTGAATTTAGAGAACTCTGGAGCAGTTACCTTTCAGAAATCAGACCCTGGAAAAGAAAATTCTCTCCTACCCTTGGCCTGGCACGCATTTTAAGTACGAAAATGAGAAACTGTTCACTGCATTGTCTCGCATGGGGTTTCTAAACCTAGGTGGCACTGTTTCCCTTTCAGTATTACACAGTACTGAAACAACATCTTGCAAGTCGGTCATTGGCTGCTTCCTTCCCTGCTGACTGGGTGCTGTATTAGCAAGAATGCAGTTTCATTTTTCGTAATATGAATCTGAAACGAAGGCAGACAGCAATGTGTCCTATACACTACAAAAGGCCGGGGTTTTGTGCAGACGCATCAAATTCAGAGCAATTAAACTTACACATGACATCAAGACATGGTCTTTGTACATCAGACTATTACAATTCTGAGAGTTCTTGCTCCCATATTCTCGATTCTGTCAGATACAGTCATGCTTTGAAAGAGCAGAAAGTGCCCCTAACTGTTACCAAAAAATTGTATATTAATGCGTAACAGATACTCCTGTAGGCGAAGATGTCAGAAGGGCAAAGTGACAGCTAAAATCTGTCTTTAAGGCTGTGACTAGAAAGAGTCACTCCTGTAAAGCCAATGCCACCTGCTGCAGCTTACCATGTGCAAACCCCACAGACATCCACAGCGCAATCAGACTGGCCGTCTCCGATACGACTGTAGAGAAAAATTCCTAAAATCAAATACATCTTTTACTTCAAGTCCTCTGAAACAAGAATATGGAATACAATAAATAACAAACATTTGATTCACTTTAGACATACGCCATACATTCTACTTTTAAATCTGTAGTTAAATAAGTGTGGAACCCTCAACATAAGAAGGATATAGACTGGTTGGAATGAGTCCAGAGGAGGCCACAAAGATGCTCAGAGGGCTGGAGCACCTCTGCTATGGGGACAGGCTGAGAGAGTTGGGCTTATTCAGCCTGGAGAAGAGAAAGCTCCGGGGAGACCTTATAGCACCTTCCAGTACCTGAAGGGGCTACAAAGGAAGCTGGGGGGGACTTTTTACACGGGCCTGTAGTGACAGGACAAGGGGTAACAGGTTTAAATTGAAAGTGGGGAGGTTTAGATTAGATATCAGGAAGAAGTTCTTCCTGGAGAAGGTGGTGAGGCACTGGAACAGGTTGCCCAGAGAAGCTGTGGATGCCCCATCCCTGGAAATGTTCAAGGCCAGGCTGGATGGTGCTTTGAGCAACCTGGTCTAGTGGAAGGTGTCCCTGCCCATGGCAGGGGGTTTGGAACTGGATGGTCTTTAAGGTCCCTTCCAACCCAACCCATTCTATGATTCTATGATTTATGCTAGAAAAAGCATAATTCATCACTTCATGACCACTGCTCACTTCAAATCTGAGCAGTAAGAGACAAAAAGATGGAAGCTTCCCAATAAACATTTTCATAATGAAAAGTGGCAGAGAATGTTCAGATCTGACTTTGAGAAAAAAACCCCAAACACTTCAAGAAGCAAGTTCACCAATAAAGCCTGGAAGTTTACTTCAAATTTTAAAACCTGAAACTTTGACAAGCTTTGTATAATTTTTGTTCACATGCTTCTAGAAAATAAAAATAACTTTAAAAAAAGACTTACCAGATACCTGTTTGACTCATTCATGGCTATTGATGGAAAGTGTTCCTGGATGATAAAGTCTAGCAACCTTCTGCAATAGGAGAGGCGGAATTCTTTAAACAAAACTGGTACTTCTAGAACTGATTGTTCAGAATTTTTGCTCTCCAACAGCTACATGCTGCTCTACAGTTTGCTGCACACAGTTATTAGAAAATCCAACCTATTTATTCCAGTGAGTCTTGGATTAAGCCTTCCAAATGCTTAGAGAAAAAAAAAAAAACTAAGGTTCCAGTCAGAAATATGACTGAAGATTGCCACATCGGGTTAAAATCATTCCCACGTGTTAAACTTCCAGAGCATGCCAGGACCTAGTTTCACATGCAGTAAATTCCAATTTTTAGGGGGAAGAAAAAAGTTTGCATATCCAAAAAAAAAAGGTGTATGATTACAAGGAATAATTCTACATTAGAATCCTCACAAAGAAAACTTCATGACTGAATTCTTATGAAGTAAGGATACTTGCCACAGTAACTGGCCATTCCCAAAACACAGGCCTACAAAGCAGGCTCAGGAAACTGGGATACATGCATTAAAAATTGCAGTGCCTGTCAGATGCGTCCCTTTGCACATCTAAAGCTGTGAGGTAGAGTGGCTGGCATTTAGCATATCTAGGAGCTCCCTGTAGGACCCTCTTGCGGTCAGAGCCAGCCCCGGCCA